CCCTAACCCTAACCCTAACCCTAACCCTAACCCTAACCCTAACCCCAACAATAACCCTAACCCTAACCCTAACCCTAACCCTAACCCCAACCCTAACCCTAACCCTAACCCTAACCCTAACCCTAACCCTAACCCTAACCCTAACCCTAACCCTAACCCTAACCCTAACCCTAACCCTAACCCTAACCCTAACCCTAACCCTAACCCTAACCCTAACCCTAACCCTAACCCTAACCCTAACCCTAACCCTAACCCTAACCCTAACCCTAACCCTAACCCTGCCTCGTTAACGGTTCCGCAACAGGATGGGGAAACGTCCCTTGTTGTCACTTACTCTGTGAATCAATCAAGCACGCTTCAGCTTTTCCTTTACGTCAATGAAACGAATGGCCTGAGATCTCGAGGTGCCGATGGCGGCAGCTCAAGATCTCTATCTTCAGTTAAAGATCTCTGAGTTTTGTGAGAGATGCTGTGTGTGGAAGATCTCTGATCGGCATCTACGATCTCCACTCAACAAATCTACTGGTGTCCCGCAGAGATCTCGATGTATGCGAAAGAGGAGGGGATCGCCCGCGCTGTAGTCACAGTAGTTGCTCGTCGACATAGTCTATCTGAGGGACGAGATGGTGCTCGCCCCCCCGGATGGTGTTATAGCTGAACGGTTGGACGTACCTTGGCGTCGAGATGTTCCTGTAGACGCCACGAAGGCTGCTATAGTACAAGGCTGAGGCGGGGAGGCGCTCATGATCCGATCGCGTGAGCGCGTCCACAAACGCCTCCGCCGATCTGTATCCGGCCCTGGCAAATGTGTGTGGGTTGTGGGTGCGGGCATCTCGTTCGAAATTGAACCCGCTGATGAGACGAGCCCAAGGATCTCGTATTGTCAGGATGACGCACTTTGCTGCTTTCAAGTGCATGTACCTTGCCGTGTGCAGGTGGTGCGCGAGCTTGGAATGCTTTCTCAGCCACGCGGTGAGAGGTCGCGTTCCCGTGCCGGCTGGAGCCAGATTGGCGCACTCAGACAGTGCTGACGCGGCGCGTCTCCGCGCACCACCTCCGCCAGCCGCCAACTGCGCGAGGAGGCGTGCCCGGGCGGAGTACTGCGCCGGCTGCTCACGTACCACGCAAGGCGGGCACGAGCTCGCTCCCGGCTCACGCGTGGGCCGAACGGTGACGCGGCTGTCAAGGTAGTCATGCGACGAGCCCTCTGCACCGGCACGAGCATCGTGCCGGCGCATGACGGGCTGCACTGCCGGTGCTGCACTGGCTGCAGCTGAACTCAGATTTCCCGCGCTGCACTGGCCGCAGCTGCGCTTACAGCCCCGGGACACCGTACAGGCCCCTCGTGCCACCATTGCCGCACATGTGTATGGAGGGGATCCTCTAGAGTAGCCTGCAGCATCAAGCTGCACTGCCGTCCTCCTCCTCCTTCTCTTGGCCTTATGTTTT